CATTGTTCTTGCAAGTGTGATAAGTGTCCGGTTCTTTCTCTCGACTACACCATTTTGTTGAGGAGTATATGTTATGGAGACCTCATGTTTGATCCCTACTTCATCATAATATGCTTCAATATTTGTGTTGTCAAATTCTTTTCCTTTGTCACTTCTTATCTTCTTGAGCTTCACTTCAAACTCATTTTATGCTCTCTTGGCAAACTTCTTGAAACATGCGGCCACTTCGGTCTTGTCATGAAGGAAGAACACCCAAGTATATCTAGAGTAGTCATCAACTATCACAAGACAATAGAGATTTCCTCCCAAACTCTTGTAAGTTGTTGGTCCAAATAGATTCATGTGAAGAAGCTCTAGTACTCTTATTATTGACATATAAGCTTTTGTTGAATGAGTGTTTGCAACTTGCTTGCCAGCTTGACATGCACAATAAAGCTTGTCTTTCTTAAATTTTACATCCTTCAAACCTCTCACCAATTCATTCTTCATTAGCTTCTTGAGTGAGCTCATCCCAACATGTGCAAGTCTTCTATGCCATAGCCACCCAAGTGACGTTTTGGTGAATAAGCATGTCTTCAAATTTGCATCTTCGGAGGTGAAATCCACTAGGTATAGGTTGTTGTATCTAAAACCCTTGAATATAACTTGATCATCATCTTCCTTTGACATAACCACTTCCTTCTCCGTAAATAAACATTGAAAGCCAAGATCACATAATTGACCAACGGATAGCAAGTTGAAACTCAATGAAGCAACATATAGCACATTTGATATTGAATGATCATTTGATATTGCAACTTTGCCCAATCCTTGAACTTTGCCCTTTGAATTATCACCAAATGTAATCCTTTCTTTACCATCTACTTCTTCATCTAGTGAGGTGAATATACGAGGATCATCGGTCATATGTTGAGTGTAACCACTATCAATAATCCAATGACTTTCACCGGTCTTGTAGTTCACCTACACACAAGAGATCAAGCTTGTTGTTTGGGGACCCAAACTTGATGGGGACCCTTGACTTTCTCAACTAGTGACTTTGTAACCCAAATTTGCTTAGGCCTATTCTTGTTGGGAGGATCTAAGAACATGACTTTCATTTTTTTACTAGAATCCTTTCTAAGTAGGTAGTGAGCATTGAAGGCAAAGGGTCTAGCATGCTTGGACAAGGGTTGTGGTGGGGGAGTTTGACACTCATAAGCAAAGTGACCTTCTTGTCCACACTCAAAATATCTCTTTAGCTTAGGCTTTGACTTGTATTGTTGTTGATGTTGAGCTTGAGTTTTTTTCTCTTGATTTGCCAAGTATCAAATACCACTTCTATCCATCTTCATCACGGTGTTCATGAGTAGCTCACTTTGGAGATATTGGACTCTTGTGAACTTGCTCAAACCGGTCTTGAGATATTCTTTCTCCAACTTGAGCTTCTTATTTTCTTCTCTAAGTTCATCATGATTTTTCTCCATCTTAAGTCTCTTGTTCTCTTCTTTAAGCATCTCATTCTCAAGAGTTATATCATAATCATTGTCAAGATTCTCTATTACAATTATGTTGGTGGTTGATAGCTTTTCAAGATTTTTCTTGAGCTTTTCATTCTCATTCTTGAGCTTGACATAATCATCATAGTTGTCAGACTCAACCACTTTCTTGCCTTTGCTACTAGAATCTTGCTCAATGCTCTCAACAATCAAGTCATCACATGATGTAGCTATATCAATCTTAATAATATTGTTAGTAGCATTATGTGGCTCATTGAATAATAGCTCATGAGAAAGAACAAGATTGTCATGATTAATCTTGAGATTGGTGTACTCTTCTTTTAGCAAATTGTAACTAGTGGTGAGTTCATTATGTATCCCCACAAGTTTATCATATTTTTCTCTAAGCTCCTTTTTAGAGGATTTGAGCTCCTTGACTTTGGATGACATAATTTTATTTTCTTCTCTAAGCTCAACACTAGCTTTTTTGGCTATGTCATACTTTGCTAAGAGTGAGTCATTCTCAAGTTCAAGATTTTCATTTTTAGCTCTTGTCTTTCTAATGATTTTAGTGTATTGGTTTAGCAACTTGACAATATTATCATAAGAATGTGATTCAAATTCTTCATCACTATCACTACCACTTTCATCATTGCTAGCATTATCATCACCACTACTATCATCATCATTTTGTACCTTTCGTTCACCCTTAGCCATAAGGCATAGGTGTGTAGAGGATAACGGCGGCGGTGTCGGTGAAGATAGTGAAGAATCAATCACAAGGGCAGCCACCTTCTCGTTCTCATTCTCACTTTCATCATCGAATGAGCCACTTGATGATTCAATATCCGTGAGCTAATCACCAACAATGTATGCCTTGCCATTCTTCTTCTTCTTGTGAAATTCCTTCTTCTTGCCATCTTTCTTCTTGTATGGCTTGTTCTTTTTCTTCTCATCATTATTTTTGTCACTTGAGTCATCTTTCTTGCCCTTGTACTTCTTCTTGTACATGTCTTTCTTAGGTTTGAGGCATTGATGAGCTAGATGACCAAGTTCTCCACAATTATAGCAATCCATTTCGAAGATGGGCTTCCTTCTATTACTAGTGAAGAATTTTTTCTTCTTACCATCAAACTTGACACCATTCTTGTTTAGCTTCTTGAGCATCTTGGTAGTTCTTCTCACTATGAGAGCAAGACTTGCATCATTAATTTCATCATCACTTGATCTATCATGCTCAACTCTTGCTTTGCTCCTCTTCTCTTGGATAGCCTTGAATACCAAATCTTTCTTCTTGGTGAAAGAAGAGCCATTTTGTGGAGTGATGTGCATTGATCTTTCTCAATATTTGAGTTGGTGTAGTGGAGAAAAGATCACCTTAATGAAGCACCGTCACAATATGCCCATATTTGTTAATGGGGAGGACACTCAAGATCTTTCTCACAGCATCGGAGGGTTGTATTTGTATGAGTCCAAGCCCATTGACTTCCTCTATAAGAACATTCAAGCGTTAATACATGTCATTGGCACTTTCTCTAGGAAGCATCTCAAATGACTTAAGCTTTTTCATCAGAAGGTGGTAGCGTTCCTCACGCTCACTCTTGGTTCCCCCATGGAGCGCACAAATGTCCGACCATAGTACATGGGCGTCTTTGTGGTTTCGGACACGGTTAAAAATATCCTTGCAAAGGCCTCTAAAGAGGGTGTTTCTACCCTTTGCATTCCACTTCTCGTAGTTAACCTCATCGCCTTGAAGGTTGACGGGATCCTTAGGTTTTGGAAAGTCTTGTGAGGCGGCTCTAAGAACTCCAACATCTAAAGCCTCTAGGTAGGCCTCCATGTGGATTTTCCAATAAGGAAAATCATCTTCCTCAAAGATACGAGGGGGTCCATCCCCGTGGGACATCTTGCTCTAGGCGATTAAGCCTAATTTAGAGAGCACGAGGCTCTAATACCAATTGAAAGGATCAAGATGACCAAGAGGGGGAGGTGAATTAGGATAATTCTAATTTTTTTGCAATAATTAAGCCCTACACTTAGCCCATTTTACCCCTTGTGTCTAAAATGTGTTTCTATTGTTCTCCCATACAAAAGTTTTGCACCCTAAATTCCAATCCTACTCTAACATGGCAATTCTAGGAATGTAAAGACATGAAATGAATTGCTTAAATGTAAATACTCAAAGAGAGGAAAAGAAATACGGCGATGTTTCCTGAGGTATCGGAGATTCACCACTCCCCACTAGTTCTCGTTGGAGCACCCACGCAAGGGTGTAGCTCCCCTTGATCCGCTCAAGGATCAAGTGCTCTCTACGGGCTGATTTTTTGACACTCTATCGCAGTGAATTGTCCACAACCGCTCACAAAGTAACTTGGATCATCCACAAGCTCCGCCGGAAGATCACCAAGCTCCCAATCACCACCGAGCCATCTAGGTGATGACGATCACCAAGAGTAACAAGCACAAACTCTCACTTGACTAAGACAAGCCTAATGAGTAAGGTGGATGCACACTTGTTACTTCCTATGCACTAATGAGGTCCTTAAATTTGGATTATCAAATCTCAATCACTCCACTAGGCTCTTGCTCTTCTTTGCACTCCAAAGGTGTTTCTCAGCTGAACAAATGGGCAAGAAACCTCCCATGGACGAGTGGAGTAAATATTTATACCTTCTCATTCAAAACATAACGTTTGGAGGCTGAATCATCAGTCTACGGGCTGACCGGAGCTCCGGTCAGGTTGACTGGACGCTCCGGTCAATTGTACCAGCCACTGTGTCAGAGAGAGCCGTTAAACTCTAGAATCTCTCCGGAGTCGACCGGACGTAGGCACCCTAGCGTCCGGTGCTCCTCCACTCAGCGTCCGATCAGTACTAGCCGACTGTAGTTGAACAAATGAACTGACCAGACTCTCTCTCCAGCGTCCGGTCACAACCAGACCAGCGTTCGGTCAGTACCAGACGACTGTAGTTGATCAAATGAACTGACCGGACTTACCCTCCGGCGTCCGGTCACAACCAGACCTGCGTCCGGTCAGTCATTTGACCCTCCATTCATTTCCAACTCGAAATCCTATGTGAATGAAGTTGACTCCAATTGATCTTAGGGCTATTCCTGAGCTAACTAGTGCTAGATTTGATAAGTGTGTATCACACCTAACCCTCTAGACTCACCTAGGTCAAGCTACTAATTCATACCCCCCTTAATAGTACAGCCAAAGGAAAAACAAAGTCCTAAACTACTCTATCTGTCTCCCTAACACCAAACGACATTTAGAAATAGTCCATAATTTACCTTGTCATCCATCCTTTGAAAACCGAAACGATTTCCATCGATAGGGGCATGACAACCATGATTGTCCAATTAATTTCCATTATGATGGCCTAACTCAAATTACATCTACAATCTCATGTCATCGTTAATCATCGAAACCCAATTGAAGGTCTAGATGCTTTCATGATGAACTCATACTTGATGAACCATCCACATTATTAGTTGTGATCAGATTGATTGTCTATATGATTAAGCTTGAATACTTGACTCATCATTATTGCTACCGTCTTCGAGGAAGGGGTAATCTGTGTAGCCAACAACAGGATCTTGCGTGTTGAAAGTAGAACAGTCGTACTTGTTCAGTGGCGCATTCAACTCAAACCTCTTAGGCAGGTTCGGGTTAGCCAAGAAGAGCCTTCCATATGCAACAAGGTTAGCATAGTCTTCTGCCACTGCCTTGTTGCCTTCCTCCCTGTCGTACCCGCCGGCGGCGATAAATGTGCCGTTAAACGCCTTCCGGAGCGGCAAGAGCCTAGAAGAATCTGCCTGCGGCCGTTGACAATTGCCATTCGAGGTTCCACCATGTGGCAGTAGAGGAAACCCTTGTGCTTGTTGAGTTGCTGGATCATGTAGTGGCCAAGCGCCACCGGATCGGAATCCACACAATCGAAGTAGTCAGCAAAGGGTGATAGCCTGATGCCCACACGGTGCGCGCCCACCTCGCGGACAATGGCATCTATGACCTCCACGGCGAAGCGGCACCGGTTCTCCAGGCTGCGCCGTACTCATCTGTGCGGTCATTACAGCTATCATTCATGAACTGCTCGAGGATGAATCCGTGCGCGCCGTGGATCTCAACACCATCGAAACCGGCTTCAATTGCGTTCCGTGCGGCTCACCTGAAATCATCAACAATCCCAGGGATCTCCTCAGTCCGCAACTGGCGCGGCTTCGAATACACCATTTGGGGCTCGGCGCTCGGGGAAATTTGCTTGTCCGTACTCGAGATAGGCGCCCGCCCGTCCGGCTGAAATTCTTCCAGTAGGATCAAAGGAAAATCAGTAACCAACTTGACAACCAGCTCCTCATCAAACAATAGTATAATCGGAGCTGACAAAGATGTATACGTTCGTGCTAGATGGGAACAGACCATTGGTGGAGACCCTGCCGACATGCCAAATCTGACCGAAGAAGATGCCACCCTTACGGTGGACGGCGTCGGTGGACGGCGTCGACGATGGGTTTCCACGCCTCGACCTGCTCCTGCGTCCAGATGCCGGGAGCCTCCGGGTACCCCTGCGCGGTGGCCGACACCCCCGTAGCCTCCGCGATGAGCAGGCCGCCCTTGGTGGCGCGCTGCGAGTAGTACACGGCGGCGTGCGGCTGCGGCACGTTGCCGTAGGAGCGGCACCTCGTCAACGGCGCGAGCACCCCCCGGTGGGAGAGCTGGAATTGGCCCATCTTGTACGGCGTCATCAGCGGGATCACCTCCTTCGCTGCTTGCTGCACCATCTTGCCTCCCTGTTCGGTGGTTGCCGGCGTTCTCGCTTTGCTCTGTTTCTCGCTTTGCTTCTGCTCTGCTTCTTCTGCGTCTCCTGGCAGCGGTGTCGCTGTAAATTTATACGTGTCGAAGTGGGCGTCTCCTGGCCAGTGGATGACAGCCCGCCGTTAGTTTCTGACTGTGTAACCTGTTGCGTGTCCCAATGCAACCCGTTGCGTCACCCTTTCCGTCATCCACTGGCGTTCAGGTCTGTGCCAGCAGCAGCGGACACGCACACGCCCTTGATTCTCTTTTCTCACGCAGGTTCGTCGTATCCGGTAGTGTTTCGACTGCACAACAACCGCACGCGAAGTTCAGCCCTCCTTTACTTTGCGAAAACTTTTTATAAAAAATGCTACAGTAGCCTTCACATCGAATATTGCGATACGTATATAGAGCATTAAATATAGACGAAAAAAAACTAATTGCACAGTTTGGTTGGAAATTGCGAGACGAACGTTTTGAGCCTAATTAGTCCATGATTGAACATTAATTACCAAATAAAAACGAAAGAATATAGTAGCCAAATTTTCAATTTTCACCCAACTAAACACGGGCTCAGTGTGGGCAGTTTGACTTGTCGTGCAACTACGGCCTTGTTTAGATTGTAAGTTTTTTCACTCTCTCTTCATCACATCAAATCTTTGAACACATGTATGTAGTATTAAATGTAGATAAAAAAATAACTAATTACACAGTTTGATTATAAATTACGAGACGAATCTTTTGAGCCTAGTTAGGCCATGATTGGACAATAATTGTCAAATACAAACGAAGTGCTACAGTGCCAAATACTGATTTCTAACGCCAATCTAAACAAGGCCTACGTCATCTGCAATAAGAGATGATGTGACTAGGACATGTGACATTTTACACGTAGGATCTTCTTCGCCGATCGTCCCTATGTGCATTTTTTAGTTCGACCAACCACTGACATGTAAGTAGAATAGCACACTTAGGACACCCGCAGTGGTACAAATAGTTACTAGCTCTAAACCAACGTCTTTAACAGTGCTAACTTTTAGCATATAGCATATAATATGGATAGCCCTACGAGATACCCTCACATGATGTTGACATGTATGTACGAGGCTAGCTAGTTTTTCTCTATCTCTCTTATTAAAATATGAAGAAAATGTTTAGATCTAGCTCATGAGTCAATTGTTGGAGCTGCCCTTATTACATTCACATTAACATACTGGTAGATTCGTTCTCTAAATTAATTGAAAGGTACCGGACACCCATATAAAGATACATTATTCAGGTCGAGTATTTAATCTTGAGAAAAGTGTTCTCTCATGTAACTGTAAACCGAATCATTCCTTTGCTTTGTTAGAGGGAGAGGAAGCTTCGTTTTTTATGACATTTTGGATCTACACATTAATTAGCATATTGCTCAACGCCTTTGATTCCATCTATATCATCGTAATTGGATATGTCTTTTTCGTTGGATTTGTCTCGATCATTGTAACACCTCTGGTGTTTTGACCTAGCATTAAAACTTGACATGTCATCATATACATTGCAAAGCATTCATAAAGTAGGAAATTTTGAATGCATTCACTAAATAAGCGTTATTTCATAGTTGTTATTTTATGTGATGTAATGTGATCCAAAACTCTAAATAAAGATCATGACCACAAGGGTCAAATTTCATGTGATCATGTGAGACCATGTGTCATTTGACTCAAATAACCCTAATGGGCCATGTAATTGGTCAAAAACCATAATTAAGTAAAAAGGTGAACAAAACAAATTGAATTCAAATTCAAATTATAAAAGTCCTTTTTGCCCCTTTTGTCTATTTCAAAATCCATTTGGAATTTGGGGGTGTGACAAAAAGCAAAGTTGAAGCTTATTTTATAAGGATCAACTTTGGTATTCAAAGTTTTTAAAGTTAACATATAAAATTTGGAGTTATTTTGAAATGATTCAAATGCTCAAATGCACCCCAAATTCAAATTTCAAAATGGAGGTAGAATTTGAAAATGTTCATTAAAGCAAAGTTGTAGAGTTTGAAAAGTTGAGCAACTTTTATTTTTGGAGATTTTCAACTTCTTTAGAAAAATTGTGAGTAATTTGCAAAATAAACTCACTGGCAATTCTGTAATTCTTCGAAACAGTAGCACGACCACCGCCCCACCGCCGGCGTCCTTTCTCCGGCCTTCCAGACGCGCCTGTGGCCGCCCTCGGCTTCGCGCTGGCACGAGTTGGTCGCTGCGTGTCGTTCCCTCGCTCTCTTGGCCGCGCTATAAAGCTCCGACGCCGTCGTCGGCTTTCCTTTCTCTCCTATGTTTCCCGACGCCGCCGCCTCAGCTCCGTCGAGCTCCCTTCGACTCCTCTGTGCAAGCCAGTCTCGGCAAAGCAGTGTTCCAGTTCCGTCTCATCCTTGCGAACCCATTCCACCAACTGTGGTTGTCTGAGTCCACCGAGAACAGCCGCTAGCGAGCCTTCTTCCTCGCGGCCGGTGACCTCACCCGAAGCTCCGTTTCACCACGGCCAACGTCATCCGGTGAGCCGTTGCCCTTGCTTGTTGACTCTACAACTTCGTCTAGATGCGGTGGTGCTTAATCTGTTATTGCTTGGTTGTTTTGCCCCACGCGATCGCCGGAACACCGTCGTCGATTTAAGTTCGCTCCCATCGTGATCGTTGTCACCGTCGAACCGTGTCACCGTAGCTTCTCCGGTCTCGCTCGTTGCTTCAACACGTTCTGGGTGAGCTACTGATGTTTCCTGTACTCTTTGTTTCACCATTAACGCACTACAAGAAATATAGGGATCTATGACAATTTTTTTGTGACGATGAGTCAATTCGTCAATAAGTCATTCTGTTTTATGACGACTTTTAGGAGGAGAACAACTTTCTGACGAAAATTATGTGTTCGTCATTAAGACGCAATAAAAATCGTCATAACCTAGAGAAGTAGTTTGTTTATGATGATTTATGTTCCGTCGTAACATGCTACCTTGCAGTTGTCATAAATTATTACAATATTAGTTTGCCAAAAAATTATTTACATATAAATTAGATATTTGGTCCCATTGTCATTTAAATTTTAATGGGCTCTATATGTAATGCTATTTTCGGAAAATAAAAACAAAAAAAATCATCTTCATCTCACCATCATATGAATAAGATATAATTTTGCTAAGGTAGAGTTAAAAGATCCAAAAAATAAAAAAAATCAAGGAAACGGCAAGATAAAAAAAACATTCATATGATGCACTCGAACATGGGCCTTTTATGTTTTTTAAAAAAGCGGCCAACATGCATGTGATGCACAGCTCTGGAGAATATAAGATTTGTTAACATGTTTTTGTGGTGCTTGTCTTGAGTTTAAAAATCAAAACTATGTTTTAA